TTAAAGTTTCTAACTCTAATTAAGTTTTTTATTCTTTATCTTTTTGTTAAGTTTCTCTTTCTATAGCTCTAGCCTTAGCTTAAATTTATACTATATTTACTTATTTTTCCTATAATTTAAGAAGATTTTAGCTTTATATTTTAGTAGCTAGCTTGTTAAATAGTATAAATTTTAATATAAGTTAATAGTACTAAATATAATTAGTAAGTTAATAATAAATTTAATATAAATAAATTCTTATACTTTCTCTATTAGAATTGCCTTTATTATTAAAGTATACTACTAGATAAAACGCTATAATTAAATATACTTTCTATATTATTAAGAAAACTAAAGTTATCTTTAGAATAATCTTAAAAGATAGCTTTAGAAAGTATTAAACTAGCTAATTTTTTCTAGCTAGAACTTTAAAGAGAGTTAAAACTAGAATTATTCTCCAAGTTATTAAACTCTAAATAATTTTACTGTTATTTTTATTCTAAAATAAAGTTAGTAGATATATAATTATTAAACTAAGAAAATACTATACTATACTTTTTGTAGCCTTCTAGTTTATAAATCTACTTTATAACTTAGAATTTTAATATAATAATAGAATTTATAAGTAATACTTAGCAGCATTTTATTATAATAAATCCTAATTATATATTTAACAAGCTATAATTATATAATATAAAGAGATATATCTACTAGTCTATTTATATAATGCTTTATATAATATTTTAATAGTATTAGTTATAGCTAGTAAAGAATTCTAATCTTAAGATAATATTAATAATATATTATAGTAAAGTCTAGAATAAATTACTAGATAATATTTATATTAAACTTAAGTAGATAACTCTAGCTATTACTCTATATCTTATTAGTATTGAAATTAAATTAAAATATATTTAGAATTAATTCTATAAATCTTTAATTAAATTATATAATTAATTATATTAAAATAAAGAAGTAGCTTTTATTAAAGTTAAAAGCTATTTTTACTTACTATTAAGCTTATTATTATTATATAAGTAATACTTTTCTATGCCTCTTTTAAAGTGTATATAATAAAAGTAAATATAATTTTACGCTTGCTATTTCTAGTCTTATTGTAATAAATTAATATCTTTCTTTAATAAAAG